CTTTTATCAGTTTTATCAGCTTTATCACAATGTGAATGTCATGCACATGATGTAAGCTTAAAATACCATTTCTTTCAGTTCTTTCAGTTATTTTATTTTTATCCTCACATTTTTATAATAGAGGTTATACGGCTAAATGTTTGCTTACTCTTGAACAAAGACTAGTTAACAAAGACTAAAAAAAAAAAAAAAGATTGACTGAAAGAAAGACTAATTTTTAATTTAGGCTATAAAAACTTTAATAATTCCTCATATTTTAACATTAATTATATTCCCCAGACCATATTTATGACTACAATAGTTATAGTGAGACAAATATTTCCAGAGTAGACCATAATTTTTCACATTCTTATTTATTTGTTTGTTTTTTTATTAGATGTTCTCGTCGGATGAATGTCCTGTGCATTTTCAAAAATGTAAAATAAATAAATAATTGAAAAGAAGCAAAGTGTACAAATCAGAAACCTATGTAACTAGCCTACAAATTCATGCAAAAGCAGAATAACTGACCGCCTTTCCCAAAACTGTCTGTTCATTTAGATTTTTCTGCCGTATCCATTTCAAGCGAAACTTCGCTGAGTTCGCGTGATAAGCAGTACTGTACATTTACATAGGATGGGGGTGGGGGAGTTTCGTCCAATTAGACTGATTTCATGTTAAGTGATGCTAATGCATCATTACCTTCTGTCCAAACTAAACGTCTTGTTTCATTGACAAACACCATTTCCACCCAAAATCATTTAGATGTTTATTTCAGCTGTCATCAATTGAGATTTTGAGTCAAATGTCTAGTTACACAAACGCTTGTTTTCTCTAACAGTTGCTTTATCCTATATATTGGTGTCAATCATAGAATTAAATCATCTTAAATTAGAATAACGTTGTGATCCACTTACGTTACCAACTTAAATTCCCAAATTTTTGTTATAGCTGCTGCTATTGAACAATAAAACTACACTGTTATAGGCTAGCAATAATGAAGGCAGGTTTTACTTATTAAAAAAAAAATTAGGAATGTCAGATAGTGATAAGCTGTGTTTTAAAATTAATGTAATTTATTACGCTATTTGTTGAAAACAATGGTTTTACGCTTTGTTACGTTTTACATTTTTTCATGTTTAGTTGTTGTGCGTTTTATAACAGTTTTAGTTGTTATATCCTGCTAGCAATCATTATTCCAATGGCAGGTTCTAACGTAAACAACTGACCCATTACAATGTGACAACGTGCCCCGCTATCGTACGAGCTGTATCTTTTCTCCACTCCGGGCATTAGCGTTGAAAAGGTTCAGTAGGTTTTATTTTATTTTATTTTTATTTTTTGTAGTCGAGACTTTAAGGTTGTATCACAAAAACTTTTAAAAATGAACATACACTGAGACATGAAATGTTTGACCATAGCCACTCATCCATAACCTATTTTTATTTTATTTTTTTATTCATTTATTATTTTTTTAATGAATAAGTATCGCTGTTTTTAATCTTTAGTTAAACACTTTTGTGCTTCAGCATTAATCTCAAATGCTTATCACATGAATGACCTCGACGCCAGACTGATGCATACTGGATGAAGTTAATTGAGGAGAAGTGTGACAGTGGGAGGGGTTGCCAACCAGCAGCTCAATCACTCCATGCGCCCTGGACAGGTTAAATACCCCTCCCCTGACGCGCACTCGGCACTCTCGAGTAAACCCTCAGAGACGAGCACACCCAGCGGGTCTGATCGGTGAAACTCATGTTTCTAGAGGGAGAACGGATTATGAACGCGTTCGGGCAGCAGCCGTCGAGCCAGCAGACCAGTCCTCTCCAGCACCACAACGCGCAGGACATCCTGGACATGACCGTGTACTGCGACACCAACTTCAGCATGTACCAACAGAACCTCCACCATCACCACCACCACCACCACGCGCAGAGGCCACCTGCGCATCCTTCCAGCTACGGACTCGGCGAATACACCTCAGCCACAGCCAACCCGTACCTGTGGATGAACAGCCCAGGTATCACCTCATCCCCCTATCTCTCCGGCCCGAACGGAGGCTCTTACATTCAGTCAGGATTTGGGTCGAACCAGCGGCAGTTTCTTCCTCCTCCCACCGGCTTCGGAAACGCGGATCTCGGTTGGCTGTCCATTTCAAGTCAGCAAGAACTTTTCAAGATGGTCAGACCGCCTTATTCCTATTCAGCGCTGATTGCGATGGCTATTCAGAACGCGCAGGAAAAGAAACTGACGCTCAGTCAGATTTATCAGTATGTGGCGGACAACTTTCCTTTTTATAAGAAAAGCAAAGCCGGATGGCAGAACTCCATAAGACACAATCTGTCCTTGAACGATTGCTTCAAGAAAGTCGCGCGGGATGAGGACGACCCTGGTAAGTTTGAATGCTCTTTAGTCAAAGTTTGGCGTGCATAATTACGCGCTAGATTTTAGTGCAATACTAACATGTTTTCCCGTTTATCTTTTTAAGGGAAAGGTAATTACTGGACTTTGGACCCCAACTGCGAGAAAATGTTCGATAACGGCAACTTCAGAAGGAAGAGAAAGAGAAGAGCCGACGGAAACACCAGTAATTTGTCTGTAAAGTCCGAGGACGCGCTGAAATTGGCGGACACGGCGAGTCTGATGAGCGCTTCCCCGCAGAGCCTCCAGAACTCTCCGACCTCAATCGAACC